ATGGTGCTGGGGTACTTTGCGGTTTTTCACTTATTGCTTGGCGGGGGGGGGGGGGGGGGGGGGGCAGGGATAGACCCCTGCGATAAACGAGGGACTACTGTATCTTCATTGAATCTGATCCTTGTGTGAATATTATACTGGCCACAGACCAGAGATACACAACCACAGGTGCTCAGGCCTTTTAGGACACAACACTTGCATTTCAACAGACCTGTGTACTGATTTCAATGCTTGGGCCTAAAAACAGAACAAACATGAAGTTGCTTCAGTGACGTCATTTACATCTCACCTGTGGTGAGCTCCTGTCTGATAAAAGCACCCCTCTACAGGTAGAGTCCGGCTGCTTGTTCGTTTTTATTCTTTCTTTCTTCTGCTTCGCTGTCACTGCAGTGACACCGTGCTCCTCCGGGCATCGGTGGTCCACCTCTGCTTTCCCTTCGCAGCAGTTTGATCCCCAGTCTGAGCTCTCAGGCTCTGCAGGACTGGCTGCGTTGCTCTTTGACTTCTGCTCCTCCTGGGCAGCACTTTCTTCCAGAGAGCCTCCGTCCACGAGCCCTGAAAAACAAAACAGAGCTGTTTTCTTTCCATGAGTTTCACACGTTATTAAATCAGTTTGAACTTTAAAAGATTTTAAGGTGCAGAAGTGACACGATGGCTCAGTTGATAGATCTATTGCCTCTCAGCAAGAAGGTCGCCGGATCGAATCCCAGCCGGGGGCCTTTCTGGGTGGAGTTTGCATGTTCTCTCCGTGCATGCGTGGGTTTTCTCCAGGTACTCCAGTTTCCTCCCACAGACCAAAAACATGCATGTTAGGCTGACTGGTAACTCTAGGTGTGAGTTAGAGAGTGAATGGTTGTTTGTCTTGTTTGTCTCTAAGTGTCCCTGTGACGGACTGGAGACCTGTCCAGGACAACCAACTGTAAACATATGATTTGTGCGTGTGTTAAGTTTTATTTAGTGGGATAGGGAACAGAACTGGTTATTTTGACTGTACATGTAACAGGTGTAGAGTTAGAGAGGAAAACCAAACACAGGAACTGGTTTACTGGTGGTGTTTCAATAACAACACTGGCAATGGAATTAGTTTGGTCTCAATACCAGCCTCAAGTACTGTACTTGTACTTGTACTCATAGAAAGACCCTGATACTTCAAATTTCACTTTTATGCTTGGTAATGTAATTTCCTCTTCCACTTTTTAAGTAAGCAGGACAAAAATAAAAAAGGTCCACAGTTTAGAGATATTTTAAGATGAACACAGGTAAACTGTTTAATGAGTTCTCAATAAAAGAGATGAGTTTCTAAAGTCATTGTGTAATGTACCACTACTACTAGTTTTAATATTTCAAGTTTATTGCTAAACATTTTACAAACATCCATCCATTTATCCATTATTTAAACACACTTCTTCCTTTCCGGGTTGTGGGGGTCACTGGTGCTATTATCCAGCAGTGACTATGTGAGAGGCAGGGTACACCCTGGACAGGTCTCCAGTCCATCACAGGGACACATGGAGACAAACGAGACAAACGAGACAAACAACCATTCACTCTCTCACTCACACCTAGAGACAATTTAGAGTTACCAATCAGCCTAACATGCATGTTTTTGGTCCGTGGGAGGAAACCGGAGCACCCGGGGAAAACCCACGCATGCACGGAGAGAACATGCAAACTCCACCCAGAAAGGATCCCAGACTGGGATTTGAACCAGGGACCTGCTCGCTGAGAGGCAGCAGCTCTACCAACTGCGTTCCATGTTAAAAACATGAGAATGACATTTGTTCCCCAGGTACCAATGCTAAAAATCATTGACAATAAATATCCTGAAAACCTTAAAAAATAAACTCCATCCTACAATCTAAAACCATCGTAAATTAAACACAAACAGCAATAAAAACAGAGTAAGATCAGTAAAATTAAAAAATGAAGCGCAGAGGACAGCTAAAACCCAGGTTCATGAGCCTCATATAGCCTCAGAAGCTGCTCCTGAACCCTCCAGCCTGAAGAGAGGACGGAGAATAGTTTTGTAGGTATGGTGGGTGGGGGTCTGTCATGATGTTCCCTGCTCTGGTCCTGCATCTGCTGATGTCAAAGTCCTCTAAAGAAGGGAGGCTGCTTTTTGTTAGGTTCTGAGCAGACTGAATCACTCTTTGCAGCATCTTCTTGTCAGACCCAGAGCAGTTGTACCAAACCATTATTTCAAAGGTCAGGACTCTCCACCACACACTGATGTAAATAGGCCACGAAGGCCAGCCTGCTTCAGCCTAGTTATAAAATACAGGCGTTGGTGAGCCTTTTCACAATGATGGCTGCGTTCAGAGCCCATAAGAGGACACTGGACAGATACAGACCCAAGTATTTAATTGTGGTCACCAGCTCCACAATCTCTTACAGTTAACTCATTAACTACCCTGTATTCAACACAATTTGCTGGCTTCCTTAGATAGATAACTTTTACTATATGTACCATATTTTTCGCTGTATAAGTCACTTTGTTTTTTTGCATAATTTTCATGCCCTGCGACTTATACGCTGAAGCGACATATTTATGGATTTTCCCCATATTTATAAACCAATTTTTGGCTGAGATACGACCGTTTTCATTCATTTTGACTGAAACTATTGAATACTACCATTTTCAGCCACTAGATGGCAGTCGAGTAGTATGGCATGCCGTTGTATCATGTAATAGGTAAAAGTGGCTATTAATGACACAATCGGCTAGCTATAGCTACCACTGTCGTCTGCCTGGAGCAAATGTCAAATCAGCTTCATTTCACTGCACCGCCACGGTGAAATGCAGCTGATTTGACCACTGAAGTGCATTTATTAAGTAAACGTTCAACTGAGACACACCTTTGCTATAACATCGAGCAAACAATCAATTGTTTTAAAGTGGTAATCATGTCAAATTTGAAAGAAATGGACAGCGAGTTGCCCTCTACGCGTTCATGTTTCCGTATATCGGCGTTTGAAATACATCTGATTTGACCATCAAAGTGCATTTATTAAGGAAAAGTTAGATTGAGACACACCTGTGATATAATTTCAAGCAAACAAATAATCGTTTTTAAGTGTTAATCTTGTTAAATTCTTGTTAAAGTCCTCCTGTGCACACTTCCATGGCTGCCATTTGGCAGCCAATCCATTTTGGGCACAACACCGGTCCACATTTCCGTGTTGTCAGTGGTGATGCATAATAGATGTGATTTATACGGCGAAGCAACATATTTATGGATTCTCCACTTTATTTCTTCTTTATTTATTCTCCACTTTATTAGACATATTTGGACTGATGCGACTTATAAGATGGAAAATATAGTACTCAAATTCCCCCCCTGAGAATGAATTAATGAATCTATCTATCTATCTATCTATCTATCTATCTATCTATCTATCTATCTATCTATCTATCTATCTATCTATCTATCTATCTATCTATCTATCTATCTATCTATCTATCTATCTATC